TCATCCAATCGCCCCATTCAACTATGGGCAGCTTTGTAAAAAGTGCGCCGCCGGGCAGGGCAACCTGGGTGCTTAAGTCTGGCAACTATGTCAAGATTGGAATGCTCAACCACCCATGGGATACAATGTTGCAAGTTTGGGCCAGCCTTGGGTCTGAAAAGTTTGCAAAGTTTTTTTTTTCATTTGTTCAATGTTCTGTTCGTTTTGATTTTTGGTGTTTCATTCATTTTTTGCACTTTGGTATTTTCTTTTTAAACCATTCAAGGTCCTTGCTGAACACCATCTGTGCAAGTTACTGCAACTCACCAACTTGAAATAAACCAATTTGGGGATGATTCCCAATACTAAACATCAGATCGTTATGCTGTGTACGTTACCCATTTTCTATGCCAATGGTGGGATCTTCAAGATCTCAACTTTTGTGGACCAACAGCACAAGACATTGCCATTTCATTGATATGTGATGCATATCTAAATTCATATCAAGTTAATATACACGTTTGGGTTTGTCTGAAAATCATATATATATATACTCATCAAATAGCAATGTTAATGGGAAATACCATGATTGTATACCCATCAGCAATCTGAGTTGGAAATTAACGATGATTGAGGCCTTCCAGTTCCAGCGACTTCAGCTGCAAGGGCGGCGACACCTTGGGTCTGGAAAGGCCCACTGCAGGTTTTTTTTCAATTTTGGTCCCTCATCTCAATATGGTTGATTTTGTCAGATTTATACATACATATGTATGTCTGTATGTACGTACGTACGTAGGTAGATAGGTAGGTAGGTAGGTAGATATGTTTGTACACTTGTATATATAAATATATAAGATCCTCAACTATATCAATTATATCAATATTCTAAGATTCATTTTGTTTTTGTCCATATCATCAATACAATGAACATCTCAAAGATAACCATCAAAATCATCCAAGGGCGGTGAACCTCACCGCAACCCTAAGCTTCCAAACGACCAAGTTGCTTTTGGGCGAGGTGTCCTGGCCAACGCCCAATGTTATACGCAACCGATACATATAACCGATACAATTATTGGGCGATATGGTTATTGTATGATAAAGTTGTTGATGGTACTGTATGATATCATGTATTGTATGAAATGATTATCAGCTGATGGTACTTTCGAATGTAGTTAAAAACATGTTGTTTATCGTTTTTCCTTGATGATACAATTTTTATTGAAGGATACATCATGTAGTCCGCCAGTGGGACCCATTTCCGTGTGGCGTTGTGAGGATTGGTGACCCAGTGGTTGGTTGGCATTCCAGTCTCTGGGTCACAACAATCAAAAGCCAACAAGCAACAAAAGTCTGGCCCATGCGAAATGAGGGGGGAATACATGTAGAATACATGTAGATATGTACATCGAGAGTGCAGTCATAGTGGAGCAAAAAAGCAATGTCATGAAACATGATCTAGTGCAAAGACTGGGCGTAGTCTATATTTTGTGTGATAGGCACTGTCTCAATGTACAGGCAGCGGGTCAAAAAAGAAGCGGCTTGAGCTTTCCCAAACATCCACCCCATAAGTTCAATACCCTCAGGCCCACGGGGGAACTTGCATGTTTTAGGGCTTCAACCATGCATTTTTGGTAGGTTAAATTCAATTTCGGTTCACTATCTATTTTGTAGGCGGTTTTCCTAACTTTTATGGATACACAAAATATCAAATCCACATCTGACATTTGGCTATGGATCAAAGCCTTGCTAAGTGGCTTGTAGCAATGTTCCTCTAGCCTCTAACATTCTGATAACGATGAACCCGATTTCTTACAGCTACATCATGTGCACAAAAAACTGGTTTTCAATTGGATGTCACAAATCAATCTTCTTGTTTCAATCCAATTGTTTGAGTCAAATCCACATGTTCTTGGTTGAAGGGCTTAAAACCCAATTTCTGCAGTTCAAATTTCGGTGGTAAAACCCAGCAAATTCCTGCATCAGGCTTCCATGTCGCCTCATTGACTTCAACACCTCTGCATTCCCGGGCTGCAGCCGTGTCCTGTGCGACAAGATACGCTGGATACAATGCTGTATACACCAGTTGCTGAAAACAAGTTTAGCGCAATAAAACATCATAAAACCAGAATTGGAAGGGAAATCTGGAGAAAAAACATGAACCCCTCAATATTTGGGGTTAAAGATGAATGTTAAAGAAATCTGGGCCCCGGAAATGTTCCTCAATTCAATTCATTGAAAAAGCGTTCCGGCGGGTTGGTCGAATGCGAACCAGCAACTGTTAGCTTCAGCCATTTTTTCATCATCGTAGCTTCAGCCACGATAGCCACACTTAGTCTGTCTTCAAACCATTAGATCAAGCGGTAAACAAAGCATGAAACTTGTGTACAGATGCAATACTTGAATGTCCGTGCCGTCAGGGTTGATCATCCCACGAGAAGCTGGAAGATTGCAGATCAAGCAATTCAATAGGGAATCTGAGAATCCCAAATTTCTGCAGTGTATTTTACTATATTTCACCCAGAACTGGCATGGCTGTAACTCCCCAAATGGGAAGCCACAACTGGATTCTGCACTCAGCTGGTCTACCAAAGAAAAGGCTGGGACCTGGGATTTTTCGATTAAACATGAAAAATCTCATCCAATCATCCACTTCAGGGTTACTAGATACCAAAAAAATAGCTAGGTAAAGAGGAAGACATTTCAAAGCTTTCCCCTTATGGCTATATTTTCCTGGAATGCTTGGCTTGATAAATTGTAGTACTTCACCAACCTGAAGTGCATTCAGCTATTTAGGAATGGCTCAAAACCTATTACCATATGACTGGGGGATTATTCACATCCATAGATCTCAGCTATTTTATTTCCATAACATCCCAGATTTTTCCATATGTTTTCCATATGTTTCCCGTATTTTCTCATCGTGGTCATTGGGCCGCCGCACCAAGGGACTGGCTTCACGGGAGCGCATAGGGCAGCCACTGCCGCTGCTGCCTCGTAACATCAAACTTTGGGGGATATCAAGCAACAAAATCAGAAAAAATGGTGGATAGTAAAACACCCAGAATACCCTCTGGTAAACTAACATAATTATGGAAAATCACCATCTTTTAATGGGAAAATCAACTATAAATGGCAATTTTCAATAGCTATGTTAGTTTACCAGAGGGTAATTGGGATACATTGTATATTGGGATGTATAGTGGGATATATAGGGGATATCCACCAAGAAAAACCAACAAGAAAGGGTGATATTCAACAACAAATAATGAGAAGATAAGAAACCACAATGGGTTTCCAAATAACACACATGTGTAGATCATCAAAAAAATGTGGTGCAGATTGACCAACAAAACTGTGGGATCTCCACCACCAACAAAAAAAAACTGATTTAGCCAAATTACCATGATTTTACCACAAAATCGGCAGACCAAGCACAATCCTGGCGGCTAGTCGCTAGTGGTCAACACATGTCAACACCATCCCCTAAAATCTACGTGTCAACGATGTTTCGTGACATGGTAATTTTCCATGCCTGGTGGCGTGCGGCTGTCACTGATGGGACTGGAGCCAATTTGAGGCGTCTGCATTCCAGCCTCAGGCGTGGAGCTGAAAATTGAATGGTGGTCATTGAAACAGATCAGGTCAATGAATCCAGCCATCCCAGCCATCCCAGCCATCCCAGCCATCCCAGCCATCCCAGCCATCCCAGCCATCAATCTTTGATGATTTTCCATGATTTTTAATGATTTTCCCGTCGGTTCGTTCAAGCTCTGGAGAAATGGATCAGTTCACCCTCCCCCACCTGGCTGTGCATCAACATCATGGGGGGCCTCAGTCAACAAGCACGGAGGATTTTACCAACAAACATCTGTTTTTTTTTCCCGCAAAACAAATATGGATTTATTTAGCCAAGACAAATGGGCAAACTTACTGACAAAGTGGGAATTCAAACAACTAACCAAAAACGTATAATTACAGGGTCTGACCACATCTGGAGATAGCAACAGGAAATGATAAAAGGTGATATTTGCGTGACATCCCCTTTATGTTTTTTCATAGATGAATGGATGACCCCTATGATTTTTCAGGAGGGCCATGCAGTGGAGCTGGCGGAGCAATGCCAATCTATGGTTTTCCAGCATATCGGCAGAAGGGTGTTGAAAAACATCAATTCTTCAGGGGGGACATGGGGACACCATGGGACACCATGGGACACCATGGGACACCCAGGCTGAGATGGGGACTCCATTGACTCCATCCATCCCATGCATTCCAGCTGCACTGCCTGACCATGGCCATCTTTCGATTGACAACTGGCTTGGTCGGCATTTTCCCAGACCCATTCTTGTTCAAGAAATCCATCCTTTTTGCATCAACCCCCGTGTTAAAAAAACTTGATTCCAGTTCTTGATGACCTAAATCCATCGAAATCCCATGTCTGTTGCGTAAACTATCCATTTATACATAGGTCGTTACAGACCCGGGGTCCCCAAGGGATCCCCAAGGGATCCCCAAGGGATCCCCAAGGGATCCCTTGGCCTCGCGCTGGCGCGCGTCAGCCTCCAGCCCATCACTTTCCAGGGTCACACACTCCGTGGCCCTTGGGGACGGTTTGAGGCATCGGGTTGCTTTTTTTTTGGGAAAATCTGGGGAGAACAGGAGAATCCAAACTTTCCAAACTTTTAAACTGCAAGTGAACTATGTTGTGTCACTGATCCAGTTGAATTTGCTTGCCTGTAGAATGGCAATGGAAATTGCCAACACGATACGTCGTGGCACGAGTGGAGGGGTGTCTCAACACTGGCAATGATCGGCTGCACGTCAAACATAGCCACCCACCAACATCCCCATTCCACCGCTATGTGATTGACAGTGATCAATTCACCATGAGCAATCAAAGGAACTACAAATGGAGGTCCTCTATGAAGTATGAAACCATGGGAAATTTCAATTCTCAGGGCCCCTAATCACTCGTCATTCAGTTCACATCAACTGCTCCGCCAGGAGATCCGCCCTTTTTTTGATGCCAGCAAAATCTGCCAGCGCGCTATTCCCTGCAGTCAGGCGCAGGCGACGAACAAAAATGGACAAGTTGACGCCTGCAAAATTCTCATTCTAGTTATTAAAAACAATTTCCTTGTAGTTGTCAAAAAACAAAGGAATGGTTGTGAAATCATCACTTGACATTGTGTTGCTGAAAGGTTCGACCATGAAGAATGATCGGAACCATTGTTTGCAGGTAGAAACGGGGCAATCATACTTTCGCCCTATGTTCGTGATTCTTGCTGCAATTCAACACCATCTCAAGCTCCTATGCTTCTTTCTTGAGCTCTGGAGTCACGCTTTGAATGCATTCTCCGTGCCAAAATTTGCAATGTACTGGTAGCATTTAGTGCAACAAGGGCCCAAAAGTATCTTCATTATCCGACCCACATGGACGGACTTGAAAAAATTACCCCCGACATATGGGGCCAGAAATGTTTCGAATGATTGGATGCCCACATCCCTCAACTTTATTCAGTTCCTATCCCATTAAAGTTGACAAATTTCATCGCATCGTTTCCATCCCCACTTCTGATTCAAATCAATTTTTGCTAGTTAAATCCACCATTCAGCTGTTGATATCCCAATTCTATGGTTCAATCCCAATTTTTCCACCATTTTTTCCATATGGCAGTGTGTCAAAACGTTGTACCCCTTCTGTTCACATCCAAATAGCTGGGATTTATGGATGTTCATCCCCCTAAAAATGGTATTAATAGGTATTGATCCATAGCCATATTTATATCCCAAATTTTCCATGATCCATAGGTTTCAACATGTTTCAACCTCCATTTTTTGAGGCTTTCCACGGTGGTTCAATCCCCGCCTCGGCAGCGGCCCACAGGTGATGCTGTCGTGCGGCAAGGGCGACAGCCGTGGGTCGCTGGGGGACCAGCCGCAGGGGGTGCAGCTGCTCTGCCCCTGGAGATTTTACCAATGATCGATGGGAAATAGTAATGGGTTAATAGTGATAATATGATGATTATAATTAATGGATATTAATGGTAAATCAATCATTTATGATGATGGTAATGTAGCAAATAGTAATGGCAATGATGATGATAATGTCAAACCAAACCAAAATAGACCCAAAACAAAGCTTGGTTTTGTCTGCTTTTGTTTGTTTTAGCATCAAGCATGGGTTTGAAGTTTGAACCAAAGGGTGGATTGAAACAAGAAAAACTGGGGGCTGTATAAACAGACAGTGTGCCGATACTGTATACCCATTAAAAGGGGACCTGGGTCCATGAGCACCGGGCCATGAACGCATCCCCACTTCACCGGTGGTGTGTCTAGGACAGCGGCTGTCCAATGGTTTCCACATGGAGCGCAGTTTTGGAGTTGTGATTGCGGCTGGGACAGGCAAAAGTTGCAAAATACCTAGTTTTACCACAACGAGGCGTTGATTTTAAAGGTTTTTGGATTTGATGTGAACTTTTGCCTCCCCATCATTCTTGCTTGATTGTTTTGGTCACAGCAATTCTTCAAGCTTTTCAAGAAAGTTCTTTGGCGTGGGTAAGTGAAGAAGTTGCCTCCAAGACCACATGTATATGTACTCAGGAATATTTGGGTGCATCTTACCGTGCCCTTTGTCTTTGTACTTCATGCACATGTGGTGTGGCAAAAAAGACTTCAAATTTGGCCAGCTTCGATCTAAAAATTTGGTTCCCTGCCATGTTTGGAACATTCTTCCAACGGACGGGGTGCATGGAAGTGACATTTTTCAAGTAGTGACAACTTAGCATCCGAAGCGTGCACAAGTGGTGACAACTTAGCATCCGAAGCGTGCAGAAGTGGTGACAGCGTAGCATCCGTGGCGTGCAGAAGTGGTGACAGCGTAGCATCCGTGGCGTGCAGAAGTGGTGACAGCGTAGCATCCGTGGCGTGCAGAAGTGGTGACAGCGTAGCATCCGTGGAGCGCGCAATGCAAAGGACGTTGTTGCCCCACCCCACCCCACCAGACCCCATCCATATACACATGAACACGATAAGAAAGTGAGTAAAACCAGAACAACATACAAAACCACAGGGAAGTCAGCCGCTGGCTACAGGGCCCAACAAAAACGGTGGGCATCAACAAGGATCAACAATCCATCTGCGTCGTACGGGTCGGATCTACCCCCAAATTTAGTGGTGACATAGGTGACATTACTATGATATGGTCCTCACTTGTGATCCAACAGGGATAACTGCTAGGATCATCCTGTGGAGAAATGCTCAGAAAGATGGGATATGGCAACTAGACACTGGAGAAAACAACCTGTGGCCTGTCCGACGAAAAACTAACTTCTTCGTAGGTACTGTCTCTCAGATTTGTGAGAATATCTTTCTTACAGAGATTGGTATTTGGAAATATTTGGAATATCGAGATAGCCGATAAGGCACTTGCAGCACTTTTGGCTGCCTGATCTTTTTTTCCCTAAACCTCTTCTTGTGGCGATTTCCACATCCAAGTAGAAAACATCATTTGGAGGTTTCCTAGAAATGGGGGTAGCCATGGGTAGCCCTAAATCATCCATTTTAATAGGGATTTTCCATTTCAAGCCAACCAGCTGGGGGTTTGCCATGTATGAAAACCCCCCGGCCTCATTGGCTCCCAAGGCACCTGGAAGATCCTGAATGGGCGGATCTGAATTGTAAATATGATATGGACAATTAAAGAAATGTTATCAAATAATCTATATAAACATGCTAAGACTTCTAAGATTTTTGACGATCTGTCGATATGTGGAATGTTTGGATACCCTGTTTTGGAAAGGTTTGGTTCGCTGTCAAATGATGATCCCTTTCTAGCTTAGATGCTGAAGGTCAACGTTCGGAGTTGGAGGCCTTGGAGGCCTTCAGGGTTGCTTTTGATATCTTTCTTGTGGGCGTTCCGCGTTCCGTGTTGGTTTTCCCATGGTTTTCCCATGGTTTTTCCATGGTTTTTCCCGGGTTGTTCCTTCATCAGCTGTGGCATCATCTCGTCTCTCACGCTCGGCAAAAGCCGGGAGAAATTCTCCTTGGCGCCGGAGAAAACCGGCGGGGAATTCCCGAGTTTCAATTGGGGAAGTACCATGAAATACACGAAAAGCCATGCAAAAATATGCAAAAAACATGTGCTTTTTCAATTGCCAAGGTTTTACCAACCACAGGATAGTTGGTTCCAAGATTTTGAGGTCGCCAAAGATGATCATGGAGACGATTGATCCCATCATTGATTTCCCGAGTATGTTTGAATCCGGCAAAGATTAGCTGCAACATGAAACAAGGAAACGCACATAGAGGTTTTCGGATTGAAAAAAAATGTTGCTGCATTGCCTGCTTTGAATTGTCTGTCCTAGTTTATTGGATATGGCAAATTCACCGCAACATTTCGAGCATGGATCATTAAACCCTGGCCCCTTTCCATTCCCCCAGCCGCATCTGCCATGGATCGTTCACGCTGATGACTGTGATGACCTGAAAACGTACTCAAGCTGTTCTAAAAATTGGGGGCCCGAATAAGATCTTTCAATGGTCAATCCCTAGTCTTCTACAAGAGTGGATTCCTCATGAATTAAGCTCACTGTATGGAGGTGCAAATTATACGGGGCATGTCCGGATTGTCCGGTGCCCCAGGTATGGTTCACTTGTCGACATGTACAAAATCTACAGGTGCCTTTGAATCTTGACCCATGACGAACCATTCTCTGACGAGTCACTGCTCGCACGCCCAGGACCTTTTTCTCTTCGCTGTGGTAGAAACTGACCTGCCATGGGTGATACATGTTTGTCTGCAGAAATGAAACATGATCAAATCAATCTCCATCATACCCATCAAGAAAATACCATTGATAATCAACCATTCGGAATTATGACCAACTGGTAATTTCACCAAACAAGGATATCCAGTAGCCCCACAAAAAAGACAGCGTATTTGCAAACAGGACTTGGCGGATATCAGCCACTGTTTGGGATAGGTCCAAGAACTCAGGACCCAAAGAGTCTACCATTTGATGCTCCGTGGAGCAAGATACCCCACCCGTATGTTCTTCAAGCCTTTCCATCATCCGACTCAGAAATCTGAAAGTCGGGGGCGAAGACGCACTTCTCCGTCCCTGGAAAGTTGGAAGTCACAGAAAACAGAACGACTCTTTGCAATGCCAAAAATGGGACTGTAACTGCACCTTAAATAAGATTATATACATTTATATATATGATATAAATGACTTATATTATATACCACTTAAGTTGTTCGCGAAATTGTAACTGGCAAGACCCCCCATTGTATCATAAAAGATCCAATCACCTGCCTCCAGTGGAGTAGGATCGCGCTTCCCCAAAACCATAGACCCTCGGATGCAAATGAGCCTGTCTGGCGGGGGGAATTACTAGAAGGCTTTGTGAAGGCTAAACTAGGAAACTTGGCCTATCACATGTCCAACCTTCAACACTGTGTGTTTTGATGAGGAAGAACAAACACAAAATTGCAGCATGTCTGAAAACCGGGTACAACCCCCCAACTGCCAGTACAAATTGGGGGTAGATCTCGACAAACCATGGGATTTGGCGGTACCCTGTCGTCAGACAACAAATCACTTCAAATCTTTTGCAGTGCAGTTTTAAAAAACAAGAGAAACCCAGAACCGGAATGCAGTCACGTAAAACACTTTTGTAAAGCAAATTACTTTCACCATTTTGTACATTTTTCCAGTGTTACCATACCAGTGTAGATTGTGGAATGTGGAATGGGGTGGAGTGCAGAGTGTGGAGTGTGAAGACAGTGAAGACAGTGGAGTGTTGAGAGGGGAATGTAACGCAGGGTGTGAAGCGGGATTGTGGTGTGTGAAGTCGAATGTATAGTGTACAGTGTGAAGTGTAGAGCGTGGAGTGTAAAGTGTAGAGGGCGGAGTGTAAAGTGTAGAGTGTGGCGTGTAGTGTAGAGTGTGGAGTGTAAAATGTAAAGTGTACAGTGTGAAGTGTAGAGCGTGGAGTGTAAAGTGTAAAGGGCGGAGTGTAAAGTGTAGAGTGTGGCGTGTAGAGTGTAGAGCGTGGAGTGTAAAGTGTAAAGTGTATATACAGTGTGAAGTGTAGAGCGTAGAGTGTAAAGTGTAGAGGGCGGAGTGTAAAGTGTAAAGTGTACAGTGTGAAGTGTAGAGCGTGGAGTGTAAAGTGTAGAGTGTGGCGTGTAGAGTGTAGAGTGTGGAGTTTAAAGTGTAAAGTGTACAGTGTGAAGTGTAGAGCGTGAAGTGTAAAGTGTAGAGGGCGGAGTGTAAAGTGTAGAGTGTGGGGAGCGTGGGTTGTGGAGTGCAAAGGGTAGAGTGTGGTGAGTGGAATGTAAAGTGTAAAGTGTGGAGTGCAAAGTGTAGAGTGTGGAGTGCAAAGTGTAGAGTGTGGAGTGTAAAGTGTAGAGTGTGGCGTGTAGAGTGTAGAGTGTGGAGTGTAAAGTGTAAAGTGTACAGTGCGAAGTGTAGAGCGTGGAGTGTAAAGTGTAGAGGGCGGAGTGTAAAGTGTAAAGTGTACAGTGTGAAGTGTAGAGCGTGGAGTGTAAAGTGTAGAGTGTGGCGTGTAGAGTGTAGAGTGTGGAGTGTAAAGTGTACAGTGTGAAGTGTAGAGCGTGGAGCGTGGAGTGTAAAGTGTAGAGGGGTCCCGTGCATTTATCTTCTTCTACTTTTGCAAGTGTGGCCCTACTTTGGCAAATGCTCCGAACTTTGCACACTTTGATCAACGTTTGTTTGGTCTTGCAAATTTATCTACTTCTACTATTGCAGGCGTGGGCTTGTTTTTCAATCGGTTTCTGCTTTATTTACGGCTCGCTTATTTTTCCCCAACAGCAGAATGCTTTGGGGTCTTCAGCCATAGTAAAGGTTTCGGAGCAGACCGGAGCAGCTCCAAAACCCATTCCCCCAAGGTTCCCAGGTTCCAAGTAAAGGTTCCCAAGTAAAGGTTCCCAAGTAAAGGTTCCCAGGTTCCCAAGTAAAGGTTCCCAAGGTTCCCAAGGTTCGCTCAAGGTTCCCAAGGTTCGCTCAAGGTTCCCAAGGTTCCCAAGGTTCCTCAAGGTTCCCTCACGGTTCCCAAAAGGTTCCCAAAAGGTTCCCTCAAGGTTCCTTCAGGGTTCCCTGCAAGGATCCCAAGTTTTCCAAGGAAAGGTTGTCAAGGTTCCCAAGATTATTATGTAAAGGTTCCCAAGTAAACGTGGTCCAGGTTCCCAAGGTGACATTGTAAAGGTTTCTAAAAGATTCCCAAGGTTAGATTGTCAAGGTTCCCTCAAGGTTCCCAAAAGGTACCCTCAAGGTTCCTTCAAGGTTTCTTCAAGGTTCCCTGAACGTTCCCAAGTTTTCCAAGGTTCCCAAGGTTGTATTGTAAAGGTTCCTTAAAGGTTCCCAAGGTTACATTGTAAAAGGTTCTCAAGGGTTCCAAGGTTATATTGTCAAGGTTTCCTCAAGCTTTCCAAGGTTGCATTGTAAAGGTTCCCTATAGGTTCCCTCAAGGTTCCCAAGGTTACATTGTAAAGGTTCTCAAGGGTTCCAAGGTTGTATTGTAAAGGTTCCCTCAAGATTCCCAAGTTTCCCAAGTAAAGGTTGTCAAGGTTCCCAAGGTTGTATTGTAAAGGTTCCCTCAAGGTTCCCAAGTTTTCCACGTAAATATTCTCAAGGTCCCCAAGGTTATTATTTAAAGGTTCCCAAGTACAGTAGTAATATTCGTCGTAATATATAAATTTCTTGAAGATATTTGAATGCGGCTACACGCGCGGAATCCGCGCAGAACAACACGCGCGGAACCCGCGCAAAACGCAGACGCGCATAACGCGCATAACGCGCGGAAACCGCGCGAAACGTAGACGCGTGGAACCCGCGCGTACTATTAATACTTCTAGTAGTAGTAGTAGTAGTAATAGTAATAGTAATAGTAATAATAACTAGACGACGGATGGCCCGAGAGCGTAGAGGAGCAGAGTCTTCTTCTGCTGTTAGTATGGCGACACTATATTACAAGACAATATATTAAAGATGTATTACAGGCAGACGAGAAGAGTAGTATCAAGACAATATTATATGGCATCGTATCTTTTGCATCGTATCTTTCAAAAAGTTTTTCACGCACAGAACTTTTTACAGACAAACGCTTTTGCACACAGACGCTTTTACACACAGACGCTTTTACACACACTTGCTCAGAAATATCTTATCGAATTACTGTTGTGGAGTGCATCGGGCGTGCACAAACAATCCCCTAAAGTCTGACAGGAAAAATTGGATGACTTGGCGAGAAAACCAGTGTAGAAGAATTCTTTCTTTGTCCTTGCAAAAAGCAACTGTTCCATCTGACGAAGTCAGCAGTAAATCAGATTGCGAAAACCGTACAGTGGATTGAAACCTGTTTACACCGAAGTTCTGAGGAAGGTTTTGATGCAGCAAAGTCCAAAAAAGGAAAATGGAAACAAACGACATGCCGGTACTTGGCTTAGCCGGTTGCCATTGACGAGAAATTGATAGCAGGTACGTCGATCCAGCGTCCCAGATCGATATCACAGAATGTCATAGCCGTCTTCGTTGGCTGCAGAACTATGACATTCCCTGCAGCCCCCTGCAAAGTAAGAAGTTTTACATCTATACAGATGGTTCACACACACACCCTCCCGCAGGAGGGTGAGAAAATAAGGTCCCGACCATGAGATGAAAATGAAGAAGAAGGGAAATGAAAATGAGGTGAAGATGACAATGAGATGAAAGTTACTTAACCAGGACGCAGAGAGGGGAACGCAAAAGAAGAGGGACGGAGAAAACACCAACACATGAAACCTAGCCCGAGCGGGCGAACCCTGAAAAGGCAAGGGAAAAGAAAAAAGCGGAGGGACGACGGACACGGAACAAGACCAGCGGAGGAGGGGGAAGACAGAAGCGCCTGAACCAACCTGACACGGCCCAAACCTACAACAACCTCAGCACGCAACGGGCCAAACCTACCTGGAGGGAGGAGAACGCAAGAACACATGAAAAAGGAAGAAAAGGGGCCCATGGGGAACTAGTTAATGACGTGATGCATCCACATTAGCATGCAAGTTTCCCCTTGTTAGGCTCAATGGCCTGAGTTCAAGTCAACCCCATCGACGGCTATCAGTGTTCAAATGAATTACGTGCACAATTGAACCTCACCAACGACCATCAAAAGAAAGAAAAACCACACCTAAAGCATGTCCTGAAGCCTCCAAATGGATCCATGTCATGATGTATCTTGTCTGTCAAGCTCTCGAGCAACGTTGAGAAAAACCGATGTTAACGTGGCTTCCAACTATGCATTCAACGGTCAAGTAAGAGGTGATTCCCAGGCACAGCGGGCAGCTGTTCAACACATCGACATCGACCGGTGAGACCTGAAAAAAGGCTGGCTGTTCACTTTACTTAGACGAATTACTAATTCAAAAGTGTAAATTCAGCCATCGTGTTACCGCCAATTGTTAGCCTGGAAAGGCTTTCCCCGAAGGGCTCATACCACCTTGTCGGACAACGGTATGAGTGACACACTTGCTCAGAAATATCTTATCGAATTACTGTTGTGGAGTGCATCGGGCGTGCACAAACAATCCCCTAAAGTCTGACAGGAAAAATTGGATGACTTGGCGAGAAAACCAGTGTAGAAGAATTCTTTCTTTGTCCTTGCAAAAGGCAACTGTTCCATCTGACGAAGTCAGCAGTAAATCAGATTGCGAAAACCGTACAGTGGATTGAAACCTGTTTACACCGAAGTTCTGAGGAAGGTTTTGATGCAGCAAAGTCCAAAAAAGGAAAATGGAAACAAACGACATGCCGGTACTTGGCTTAGCCGGTTGCCATTGACGAGAAATTGATAGCAGGTACGTCGATCCAGCGTCCCAGATCGATATCACAGAATGTCATAGCCGTCTTCGTTGGCTGCAGAACTATGACATTCCCTGCAGCCCCCTGCAAAGTAAGAAGTTTTACATCTATACAGATGGTTCACACACACACACAAACACTTTTACACACAGAGACTTTTACACACAGACGCTTTTACACACAGAAGCTTTTACACACAGAGGGTTTTACACACAGACGCTTTTACACACAGACGCTTTTACACACAGACGCTTTTCCACACAGAGACTTTTACACACAGACGCTTTTACACACAGAGGGTTTTACACACAGACGCTTTTACACACAGACTCTTTTACACAAGCTTTTACACACAAACGCTTTTACACACAAACACTTTTACACACAGAGCTTTTACACACAGAAGCTTTTACACACAAACGCTTTTACATACAAACACTTTTGCACACAGAGCTTTTACACACAGACATACACAGACGCTTTTACACACAGACGCTTTTACACACAGACGCT